TTTCTGTCTGGCTCAGTTGTCAGGCAACAGGTTGGTCAGTGTCAGGTGCTCATGAGTGTCAGAATCACAGTGTTTCATTGGAGCATTAGTTGCTCAGTGCAAGGGTATTATTATTCACACTGTCTGACTCATTTTCAGTTTCCGCCTGCTCCGTACAATGCCGCCATTTACGCTGTTGAAAGCAGTTAGCCCATCCCTCAGCGACACTGGCGCATTTCATGGTCAAGTTGCGCACGTGTTTTCAATTTTTTTGGCAGTCAGTCGATGCAACCAGGCCAAGACGCGTTGCCCCGAAGAGCCAGCCAAATTCAAAGCCATCCCAGGGACGTGAACAGGCAGGACAATAGGAAACGTTGAACTTGATATCCAAACAATTTCCCGTAGATGTTTGTAAACAACCCTTTAAATGAAACTACTTGTGTTTAGCAGTCAGTGGCAGGCTCTCAAGACCTTCTCCGATGATGATGATCGCTTGCCGAAGTACGGATATGTCCTTCCTACTAGAAGCACGCCAAAGTATGGCCCGATTCAGCAGTATCAGCCGTTCTTTGGAAAAGCTCCTGATGTGGGTCCACTCCACATGAGAGTTGTTCCTTGCATTTCACTGCATTGAAACCATTCCAGTTTGTGGAGTTTGAGTTGGTGTTTGGATGGGTGGTTTAATTATACAGGTGTAACAAGTGGAAGCAGCTCCTCCCAGGTCCCTGAGAACAAGCGCAAGGCTGAGAAATTTGTGGGCAAGGACAAGGATCGCGAACTTCAGCTCCTGAGATCTCCAAAAGTTCTCAAGACTTATGGCGCTGTGAGTCAGCCCCCCAGATTTTTGGAAACGCACCCTCATGTAGAATCACAATCCATCTTGCAATGTCTTGCAATTGACGAGGGCGATTTGGATCAACGTTTCGTGCTTGTCAAACTCATTTGAGTTTGCGAGCGAAACAGGACAAGTTGGGAAGTTTCAATTAAAGATATTGGCGTGGAGGGAAAACAAAGGGTTGGATTCCTAGTGATGTATTTTCTTGGCCAGGACTTAGCTACTCAGGTGTACTACTGGGATGCGTATAAGGCAGCGTGCAAGACAGCATCAAAATCACGTGGCCGGTATTTTTCACCACGAGTTGCAGAATTTTTGGTTGGCATCTTGATGTATGATACAATGATGCCATGAGGTGTTTGCCATTCTGAATGCACGCCTTCACTTGTTCGCCCCAGGAATGCCAAGCAATTGGTCCCTGGACAAGATGGGCACCGTGAGTTACGACCAGCTGTTGGCCTTGTTCCCACACCATCACTTGGGGGTGCCTGGATCAATTGTTATTTTGAGTTGAAGTTCTCAAATGACAATTGTGTTTAAATGTTTGTTTGGGAGGCCGATGACAGTGGGTATGACTTCAAGCGGCGGCCGGTGATATCACTTTTTAGTGGAATACTGGGCCTTGAATTGGGCCTGTCAGAGCAGGATCCTCAATTGTCATGTTTAATCTCTAGAAAGACTAAACACCAATGAATGTCAGATTGTAGAGTGGTGAGCTGTGAGGCTTGTGAGGCCAATCGCTTATGCCATGCCCCAAGATGATCCAAGCTTTCTCATCAAACCTCAAGTTGGTTGTCACGCGTTCTTTGCCCTTAGATTGTTTTCTTGCCACAATCAGGTCCTTACTGTGTCCGTGTGATTTCGTGCCGAATTGGAGACAAGATCGCTGAAGATGCTCCTGTGTACAGAGACGTCTGTGAATTCTCTCCGTCGGAGGAGATGAAGGCAGAGGTCGAAGGCTACACCCTTGGCTTCCCCTGTCAAGTAGTGTCCTGAGAAGTTGTTTAGCCTTAGATTGACTCGAGTGTTGCGCAGCGTGCTTTCAACTCTTCAGTGAAATTAATATCCTTTGCTCAGGGAGTGTGCCGAGCAGGAAGCCGCGCAGGATTGAATGACCCGAGAACATCACTCGTCAAGCGCATTTTTAAGCTTCTAGACGCTACACCAAATGCGTGGCTTGGTGATGAAACATTTCGACGCAACAATGTTCAGGGCAGTGACTATGTAAATGGTTGGTCCAGGTCCAGTGTTCAACGTCAACTACATATCATAGCCAACCAAATGTGGAACACTATTTATTTTCTGCTACAGGTATTTTTGCTTGCTCGAGAACGTGAGCTCCCTTCTGACTAAGAAGTTGCGCCCGCTATTGAAGTATTTGCTCGAGGCGCTGATTGAGTGGCTCAATCAAATACATTTGTGTGTTGAACTCTTGTGCAGGAGTTCGGTCGGCGGAACATGTCAGTCAGCTGGGCCACAGCCACTGGCAAGATGGTTGGGATTCAGGCAACAACCAACTTTGTATATTCTCCAAATTTTATACGGCTTGAAATGTCATAGATTTGACATGTCTCATTGTTGCATTTTGCAGGTATTCCGCGAGCGGGTGTTTATGCTTGCCTGCAAGCGTGGCGCGCCAGCTCACAAGCTGTTCCAGGACTGTTGATGGGCAAGCTGTTCAGGACTTGTTGACAAATTGTTGGCAGGACTTCCAGTGCTTGACGGGGCCGCAGGTTCACGAGGCATGCCACCAGAGGTGGAACCACAGGGGCCAAGTTGCGTTGAAGGATTGGCTGTTGGAGAGTGCGTCGGAGACCGACATACAACGTCTACAGGCACTAGGGAATGTGGTGATGCCCCCAGTAGCCAGATTGGGGCTACATACCTTGGTGGAGCACCATGTGCGAAGCATGTGCTAGTGCTTTGCAACTTGTTGCTTCAAACAATGGGATCATGGGTGGTCAGTGAGGCTGCAAAACAATGTAACTCCAAACAGCAAACAACTTAACCCAAAACTTTAGTCTTTTGGTTTTTGGATGATAAGTCTGTGGCCATCCCTGACAGCGTTAATTAAAGAGCATTGAATCAAAGCCTGGATTTTTGTGCGCACGTGCCTTGAGCATGCTCTGTGATGGTGCCATGCCTGGCATCTACTTTGGAGGGCGCGCCTGGCTTGTTTGTTAATTGCTGCAGCTTTTGAAGATTGAAGGGCTAAATGCAAATTGTAGCCAGTCTGTATTGATTTTGTCAATAAACGTCAGTTGCGGTTTACGAGAGCAAGTAGAGTCCGGCCCACTCAGAAGCCGCCATGGATTCCGGAAAACGTGTGCGCAGCAAACCCATCTCGAACTGGTGGGCTTCGATTTATACTAGCGATGCACCGTTGACCGGACACAGTGGGTTCATCTCTGAAAGTGATGACGATGACGAAGTTTTGATAGTTGATGAGAATGAAAGCTCTCAGCTTGTGACTACCATCATTCCCAACCGGACCGAGGCGGGGTTGACCTGACACTGTATTTTACAATTTTTCTTTGCCAAGGAAATCATGAAATTTGTGTTATTGTTAAAAAAGTGACATTGATATGAACCAATTTCCCCCACAGGCCCAATCTTCAACCCCACCTTTGGTGGAGTCTGAGTCTGACGCTATATTGGACACGGCTTGCGAACAATGTTCTGAATGAAAACTACCGCTTTGAAACTCAGGCTCTACACCGTGACAGAGAAAGCGCCAATGTCCGCCATCATGAACGTCAGGACGTTTTCATTTCTGTTTTTGCGCCAGTCCCTTCAGCTCCTGGGCATTGATCCAACTTGTTTTGATAACTATTTGCAGGACCGTGATCATGCCCGCCCCTCGAGTGAAAGCGGAAGACCAGAGTCAGGCCCAAACAGAACATGCTCACTTGTCATCCTTTGGTTAGAAGAATTGACGGGGGCCATCATACTAGGTTGCTTTTTGCAAGGACCTTCAGAAGCTACCACTGCCAAGCGTAAAGCTGCCCGCATGACAGGCCACGCCAAAACTTACCAATGTTTTGTTCTTTGCCCCAAAGCAATTTTGCGTTGAAAGATGCACCTTGGCCATTGCGCAGGATGTGATGCTACTACGTGCAGTCGGCTTGGACAGATTCGAAGGTTGAGGAGCAGCTTTGATTTGGGATCCGAGTGATCTACGTCAGAGCACTTTTTGTGTAAGCCCTTTGATAACTAATGCGGCGAGTTTCTGGATTCGCTGTCAACTCACATTGTGTGGATGAATTCACGCTCACTTTTCTTTCATGTTCAGCTTGCAAACTTGCAGTTGCAAAGAAAAAAGTCCCAAGAGGATTCAGTGGTAGTTTGATTGAAGAAGCACAAAGTATGATACAGTATGATCATCAACTGGTTTCAAATTGCGCTTTCATCCTGGACTTCATCCAGTGGACTCAAGTTGTTGTGTTTTGCTGCTGTTGTAAACATACTGTAGTTTTCAGTTCACTTTCAATCAGAGACAAAAGCATGGAAACAGGTCAAATCAACCTTCAGTCCAATTTGCAAAGAACACGCACTCCGCGCTCCAGTACAAATGACTATATATTTTTCAATTCTTATATGTTTTCGCCTGTTATTCAAATCTATCAACATCATTAAATTTTGCGTCAGTGCCTATAATGATTTTCGCAGCTGACACATTGACATGCCTTTGTAGCACTATTATTAGACTTGTCACGTGGTGTCAATGTCCTGGTCGGATGATGAGAGTGCCTTACTACCTGGTTCTAGTGCTGCAAGGCCGCAGGAAGTGCTGGCCCTTAGCGATGACGGGAGAAAGACCTAACAAGAGGAAGGCAGTCAGTGCTCACGCCATTCGAAGTTCTTTGCAGCAACTTGCACGTGGACAGTGCAAGTGCGCACGAACTGCTACTGTTGTTCGGCCAAGTTGCTACTCACAATTCCAACACACTATGGATGAGCTAGTGCAGCTTCGTGTCAATTTGGCCAATTTGCACAAACTAGACGCTGACCGCAAAGCAACTTTGCTGACTACAGCCTTTTTTAGACACCGCTTCAATTCGATTTGTAGTCATTATCATTGTAAGCTCAATTGTTTTTAGTGCTCTCGAGGTATATGACATCATCCGCAACTCTCCAACAAGGAAGAGGTATTCGCAGAGTGTGCTTGGCAAATCCGTTTGCGCAGGAGCCTTTTGTAAACTCTTGGGCTTGGGCCCACGCCGATTTGAAAAGTTAAAGAAGTCAGTGAAGTCTGCTGATCCTGTCCCCTTCGATCGGCGTTTTATTGTGGGTGCTAAGCTTCGTCGAGTTTCTGAATCAAGGCAGATTGCGCATGAGTATTTGGAAGAGTTGTACGCTACCATTGCGGAGGCAATGCCAGAGGTCAGCGAACCTGGCATCGTGCGCCAAATGTCCTTCCGCCGTCGCAGAGGAAAGCGGCCAAAACTGGCTAGCCGTCAAAGTAAGATCGCCAACGACAAGAAGGGAGTTATGAGGCTATTGCCACCTGGTACGTTTGGAGAATACTTGGACCTCCTCAAAGCACGACGCCCGACAACGAAAATATCTTTGAAGCTTTTCTCCATGGAATCTTGGTCAGACTGTCGAAATTTCTTGGTCCTTCCCTAGTTAGGATAAAAACCTTGTTTTTGACAGGCGCTAAAACAAATTGTGGTAGTAAGTTTGTGTGATCCATAAGCGGTATTATAGTTAGTAATAATCAATACAACATCTCACAGCAACGCATGTTTAAAGTTTTTCCACCAGGTCAGGTGTGGACAACATCATCTTCAGAGAAACTGGCAGTGAGACCCCAGAGCCAGCGCAAGCAGTGCAGCATTTGCACGCGCCACAAGCAGATCTTGAAGAGGCTAGCCACAGACCGTTGGGCAAGGACTGCGCAAATGCGCGAATATGCCAAGCACCTAGACCGGCAGTACAGAGACCGAGTGGCAGATCACAGAGTCGGTTGCGCAACCTGTTGCCAAATGGCACCCAGCTGGTGCAGCTCATCATCGATGGGCTTGACCATTCCAAAACAAAGGTTCCGCGGCTGCCATGCCTAGTATCCAAGGACTACTCTTCGTTTAACAGGCCGACTTTGGACCTGACGCGTTGCTTGGCCCATTTGTTTGCCGTATACCTGTTTCCATCGCTCCCATTCGTGCCCAAAGACTCCAACCTTATGTCCGACGTGCTGATGCACGTTTTGCATTCCCTAGCGGAAGGCGGATTGGACCTCAGGTCCGTTGACCTGAGGCTCCAATCCGACAACACCTCCAGAGAATGCAAGAACAATTGCGTTCTCCGCTGCGCAGCCGGACTGGTAGGTCTAAGTCGCGTGAAGCGATTCCAACTACAAAACTTGGATCGCAGGACATTCGCGCGAGGATGTCGATGGATTCTTCGGATACTTGTCAGGAGCAATCCAATCCGCTACACACCTACCAACCGCACAGTCGTTCGTCGACTTCTTTGAGCAGTTCTTGGCCAACGAATCCATCAGGCCTCATGACCCTTACAGAGAGGTCAATCTGGTGAGTTCCACCCGCGACTGGTGGCCAGTTTTAGCTTCAGCAAAATATGTTATATAATAAGTGTCTTTTGTGTCTCATATGGTGGTCGATTCTACAGTTTTTAATCCGCTTTAATTTAATGACTTGAGTTTCTGTGAGTATGCACTTGCGTTCAGTCTTGCAAGGAGAAGCTTTCTCAAGGTTTGGTTCTTTGAGAACCATCTTCGAGGTATCGCCGGGCCAGGGGCACCACACTGCTTTGCGCTAGACAGGAGGTCTGATGTCAGTTGCATTGCGTGATGGAGTACATCCAGTTTTCTTTTTTACATCCAGTTGGTAAAGAACCTATGTTTGTGAACTACGAAAGAGGTTGTTGTTCACCAAGGGATGTCAATTGCTCATGACCTGTTCCAGTCAATGCACTTAAGGTTTGCCAGCAGATTCCATCAAGTCTACTTTTTGGCGGCGAATTGGGATTCCAATGGCCAATCTGAATCACCCATGCGATGTGATATTGAGGACTTTCACTGACATTTCTGCATCACGCCGACATGTTCACTTTTTTTTGAGACACAGGACCAAGCAGTACCTGTCAGATGCAGAGCTGATGAACCCCATACTCTACCTTCCTTATTGTGTAGCCCAAGACATGGTCATCAGAGGGGGTGGTGTGCCGGAAGGCTCGACCGTGAACACGATTTGAACAGTCGTTCGTTTTACCGGGTCAATGTTTTGTGAACAAAAGTTTATGTTGCCTGATGCACTGTTTTTCACATTGGCCAGTTCGGGCAAGTGAACGAGAATTTGATTCCAAAGCGGCCGAGAATCACTTGAAGCATGCGCGACTTTTGCATGCCACAGCTGACTATTATTCAGTGCGGGGTTGAAGTGTCCAGTGCTTCTCATGTTTTGTGGTAGTAGGTACATGGGGTGCCAGCCCAGTGTTGAACCTTCACTCCTCAGGCGAGCATCCTTATGATGAACGTGAAGCTGCAGACTTTCTTGTTTCGTTGGCCGAAGATTCCCATCGAGCGAGGATCTCCCATGTGCATTGACAGGCACATACTTGACTTATGAACCAAACGTGCTCAGGATATTATTGAAAACTATCTACTGGTATGTGTGTTGATCTTGGTCAGGGTGACGATGGCGCCCGGGCCAGCTGTGGATCCTGGCATTCCTGCTGTCATGCCAGGAATCAACTTGGATCCTGCTTCTATCCTTCAAATCACAAAGGCATTTTTGTTGATCAATGTGGCCTTCATGTAGAAACGGAGTGAAACAATAAAGACTAATAACCAACACAGACATGGTTACTGTCGTTCTTGGTCCTGTCATTCCTTGTCAAGGATCCCAACACTATTCGGTTGGAGCGGGAACGCATGAGCAAGCCTGCCCTGGATACATACAAAGCCAAACGGAAGTCATATCATATTTACAGGGCAGCTGCAACCCTGTAGAGTGAAGGCGGAGTTGAGTGGAGTAGAGCCCTCGAGGTTATTACCGCAGCTTTTGATGCTGCCACTCATGAATAGCCGCCCGACTAGCCAGGCGCCATACTTTCAGTAGCCGTGAGTAGACCTGGGTAGGAAAGTTTTTGACATGGTACGCGTTGCATTTTGCAAGTGTTTGAGTTGCGCTACAAGTTTTGTTTCACTGAATCCTGCCTCCAAAATGGATGGCATAATAGGTGTGTGTCTGTGTTTGTGGCTACCTTCACGGACCAGCAAACGCATGCAATCCACACCGACTCATGATGACCCGGACTCCACTGACACAAAAGAAAACAAACAAACATGACGCGTTTGCACAAACCGCCTGTGCCAAACTCTTAGTCTGTTCGTGTTGAAGGTCACTGCCGCCCAACACAAAACCCTACCCTTAACTAACATTTTATGTTTTTTAAAGTCAGGATGCACCAACTCATTGAATTGCTTGGTCGTTGGATGGGTTTTGTGTTGGGACCCACCCCCCTCCAACACAAAACGGGCTTCACTTTACAGTGTCAGGATTGTGCAAAATTTTACTTGTTAACCTGATTGTTTGACGCCATGATAAAATGTTCAAAACATTTGGGTGCGGCATTACCGTTTAGGGGGTCACCCTGGGTTAAAAAAACAGAACACACTCACCAACGTAAGTGCACGCAAAAAACCAGTTTGTGCCTAATGCCGCTGCCATTATGCACAATACACGCGCGCCTAATGTGCCGCCGCTGGGTTTGTGCTGACCGCTGTTGCCGTTCTACACAAAACTTGGTTCGAATTTTCTGTTTCTGCGCAAACATACTTGCTGGTTTCTGTGTCTCTGCGCAAAACAATTGTTGGTTTCTGTGATTCTGCACAAAACATGTTTCTGTGTCTCTGCACAAAACAAATGTTGGTTTCTGGGATTCTGCACAAAACATGTTCCTGTGTCCATGCACAAAACACTTGTTGGTTTCTGTGATTCTGCACAAACATGTTTCTGTGTCTCTGCACAAAATCACGCGCTGGTTTCTGTGATTCTGCACAAGACTGGTACAGTAACTTGCTTTGTGTCTCTTTGCGCAATCATGTGAAACACGCCATGGTGAGGAGCATGTTGCCACGGTGGTTGTGAAGTTTATCGCTATTTTGCTTGTGGGTTCCTCTGGTTTGGGATTGCTGCTTTAATGTTAGGGAGTCCAGGCTCAGGGCCTCCAGTTGGCATTGAAAAATGTTACCCTGTGACCACCTGCCACTCAAAGTGCCACACACGCAAAAAGTATAATGTTGTTGTGTCAGTGACTGGAATACGAAACTTTTAGTTGTAAACTCTTACAATGTCCAAAGTGGGGATTGCACAGCGGCCGCGAACTACCTCGTGGACCACATTTAAAAAAAGGAAAAGTTGCGAGGGGCAAACGTATTGTGAGGGCGGTATGTTTGCACAGTGGATTTGAGTAGTAGCTGAAGGACTTCTGAATCCGTGTTTTGGTGTGCCACGTGCCAGGTGTGAACCACCCCGATCCGCGCTTAGATCAAGGTGAGCAGCGAACCTTTAATTTAATTAAGACAAAGCGAAGAAGACTTTTGAGTGCAGTCATCTCTTTTCCAAAGCCTGTCAAACATGGAGGGCCTCGTGTGAGACATTTTTGATGTTTTTTTCCTCTGTCAGGCTGTGACAGTCAGTTCAATCCTGTGGTGCTGCCGCAATGGGGAAGCGGCCGTCCACGGGCTCTGACAAGTCCAAACCAAAGAAGGGCAAGTCATCCAGTGACCTTACAGAGATTCCAGTGGAAAAGCTTGAGACGGCTTACTTCAAGCTGTTCGAAGAGTGGTGGCCACTAACCTGTATTTGTTTGAACCCGTTGTTTCACCACTTTAACTATATTTGCATTGATTCCTTTATGACGGGCCAGCCCCTTCAAGGATTGTCCTGTCGTCAACAAAGGCAGAAGCAGATCAACAAGCATGAGAGCATATACTTTCAGCACAAGTTCGACACGAAGGACTTCTATGTTTAAACCAATGTTTCGAGTTCAAACAATTTGTGTTCAAGGAGAAATTGATAAAGTTCTTGAGTTGGATGGATGGGCAGTTTCCAGCAGAACACGGTGTGTCAGGGCCCAATCCTTCCATGATTGTCCATGATGTTAGTTGCCAATGTTTTGCCAATGTCCGATTGGGGTGCGGGCAGTTGACATGACATGATCATTGATTTTGGGTGAGGTCCTATGCTAACAGATGCTTTGAAGCGGAGCGGAGGAATGTTTCTGCGCCCGTGGCACTTGACCTATGCCACGTCCTGTGGACTCAAAGGCTTCATTGAGCCAGACTCTAGATTGCGTTCATATTATGGAACTACTACTAAGTTGAAGGTCATCATGATGTTGAGTTAGAATGATGGACCAACAGTTATAATACTACCTCACCTCAAGCTGTTGAGGACGTGCTCTTGAACATTTGTCAGTTGATCCTGTCTCAGGGGCTACTTTGTTGCAAAATAAAAAACAACCGCCAGCAGGGTGGTTCAGGTATCAATTCGTAGTTTAGCTTGCAAACCAAGGTTCATGACGGATGCGAACCAGGGCGGAGTTGAGAAACTCTCAGTTTGTGAGCCACATTATGATTATGGTTGCAAGCCTCCACACACTTTGGGTTGTGAGGATCTGGCCCCAGAGTGCGTAGGGTTGATTGGGCCCATGGCAATTTTCTATGTGAAAGGTTGGACAAGAAGTATCTGCAATATGACCATCGTGGCCTGCATGTATGAAGAAGAGGAGTTTCGGAATCAATGGCCCAGCGAGTTCCAAAAGCCACCTGAATTAATTGATGTTCCCAACCAGTTGACAGCAGAATGAAACAACAGAAATATCCAGCACCTTATTAATTTTTTAGTGAGCCAATAACTTCAAGTCATCTCAGGTCCCTATGCACAGTGCACGCAGCTGTGGTGTGCGTTCCAGGGCATGACGATCCTGCTATGATGATCTTGAAAAATCGAGGCGCTTCCCTCTTCTGTTGATTTCGCAGCAGCTTCTTTTCGTGTCACATTGAGCCAACATTCCATCCTCCCATGTTTTTTGGTCAGGAATTTCCTACGCGAGCACCACAAGACGCAGACCCAATTGCTTCACGCTCTTCTTCCAGCTCAAGTTTATCAAGGTGATGAACAGGGAAGATGTTTGCTCATTTGAGGCCCGTCAGGAATGATCGGATTTACTTTCAAGCAGTCTAACGATTTTGACATTCAATGGTCAAATTAATTATCGGTCATTTGATAATTATAAATTGCCTTCTTTGGGAGGCCTGGCAGAAGGCCTCTGATGTAGCGCATGCTTACAGCATTGGACGATTAGAGTCAGCTGCAGCACTAAATCTCTTCAAAGAGATTGACGAAGCTGTGTCCGATCAACTTGGCCAGCTTGTCAAGAGACTCAGCGTGAAGACTTGTCCTTTTTGCATGAATAAGTGAAGATCAGACTGTAACAGTGCAAAATTATGGTTTGCCGCAGCTTAACTTTTGAAATTGCTCACTTCTGCAGGAAGTGGACCATGCAGAAGTTTCTTCTGCACGACACAGTAGCAAGCAACGTATTCAACCGCAACTTCACATCGGGGTACGCAGCAATGGTCCCATGGGAGAAAGAGCTCACCAACAACCCCGAGATTTTGGAGACCTTGTGCCAACGGCTGAGCAATGACTACGAGCAAACGCACCAGAAGCCGCGAAAAGCTTGGAATTCCAAAGAGACAGAACCTCGATACAAATATTATTTATATAATTTGAATTGTGTATTTTTCTGTAGGGTGTGTGGGGTGACATGCAGTGTAGCTCATTGTGATGCTGAGGAGAAACTGCAGAGGCGTTGCGCCGCGTTCCATGCGCGCGCGCATGTGTTTCGGGAGAAGTACCCCGAGGACTATGTGAAGAGCGAGGAGACAAATCTCATGAAAGCTTTTTTTCGTCAGCAACCAGAAAAGGGTTGGGCAGCAAGGTAGATCATTGTTACTATCATCCAGTCAGGTTTCTTTGCAAACATGCAGACGCTGAACTCGATGTTTTGCTGGAAGAATCAGTCCCCCCAGCAGACTTGTCGCGCATTGGAATTTTTCGTGCTCCTATGGCAGCGCACGCAAAGAAGGCCGGAGCTGCCATCAACGTTCTAATGTGATCAATTTGTCGAATCATTTTGCTTGTTTCTGGACGGTCACATAATAAGAGAGGTTGAGTCTGAGATCTCTGAAGCCAATGATGCGTTGCTTGCTGCATTTCTGATTGAATCTTTTGTACCTGATGTGCTTTCAACAAGCCTTGAACATTTTTAGGACTTTGAAGCCCGGCCCAGGATTGCCGAGACACTGGCCAAGGCAATCTTTGATCAGACAGAGCGCAAAGTTAAGGAGGATATGAAGACCATGGCAGCATATTTGGCTGATGTCAACGAGTTTGCAACCCGCCAGGCAGCCAACGAAATCAAACAGTTTCCCAGTTTTATATTTCAAATAGCAATGGCACAGTGACTGGCAGTTCATACTGGTTTGTTTGGAGCGCCAGGCGGGGCTGGACGTGCAGTACCTTCAGAAAAGGTTCGAGAAAGGGAAGGAGTGGGTCGAACAGTTTACCAGGAAGAATCATCGCATCATAGGGCTGAGCCTGATGGAGACACATGCAGACCTTCTTCAATGGCAGCGGAGTGATAGCGGCGGGGTTGGGCTTCTCGATTGCAGCTTTCAAGTTTTAATCTCAATCAGTCAAACTCAATCAAATTCAAAACAAATCTTAAATGGAGAGGTTCACAATCATGGTATTGGATTGCAGCCTGTGGCCTTCTTTCCGTTTCTCGGCACAACTCAGACTCAATGCTCAGTCCATTTAGGTTCTTTTTTCAAGATTAATCCAGCGACTCATTTCCCAGGTCCTTTGATCATTGACGAGGCCATCCAGGTTGCGAAGACCATTTGCAATGGCGACGGGCAGTCTGCTTTGCTAGCGCTCCACCCAATCCACCACGCGTCAACAGATCAGGTTGGAACCACACGTCCATGTGGATTGTGTGTGTGTGTTCTTTTTTGTGGGGGTGTCTCTGAGGATTATTGGGATTCAAGCTCAAACGCTGGCCCGGCTCAAAGACCCGCTGCAACCTTTGAGAAGGTGCAGCCCACCTTGAGTGTTTGCACTGTCACCCCAACCGAGCTGAAGTGTCTCAGCGGTATGTGTTCAGGTGTCGTAATGTCAGAGAGTCTTGCGCAAATCAACATTTTTTTATGTTGTGCCTAATTTGTCCCAACATTTAAGGTTATCAGACGCGGCAGGGGATTCTGCAGATAGCCGCAAGGATGCTTTGCTTGACCTAGTCAAGAATGGGAAGGCCCGTGTTCACCCCGCCTTACGCTCCAGTCAACACTGCCAAGAGATCTCCGCCAAGCCAGACACTGGAAATTGTTGAATTTCAGGCGAAAGAGCCAACTGGTCAAATTGATTGAGGTTTTTCTTGAATAAAGCATTGATTTACCAATTATACATTCAAGGGACATGGTGTTTAATGGGGCACGAGGTTGATGGCCCAAACGATCCCGCCGTTGACCGAGAACACCCAGTGCTGCCTGGATAAAGAGCTTTCGATTTGGTTGGTCAACACGTCATCAGAGAAGATCGTCATGAAAGCTGGCGAACTGTTCGGATTCAATGTGGGAAAATTCTCCGAGAAAAGTACAGGCGTGAGCGCAGTTTTGATCTCTGAACAGTTATTTTGATCTCTGAAGCGCGGTGTCCTTGTGTGCTGATAGGTGCTTGCAAGAATCCTACGACTCTCAAGGATGGATTCCCGTTCATGTTCGAGAACGATTACAGCTTGATGATCTCTGTGGATGGCACAACCAAAACACCGACCTGCGTTGCCAGTCTTTCATGCAGTGCTACCAACACTCACGGGATCACGGAACTGACCATGACAGATCATGACCTTTCGCCCATGACAGACGCAGATTCTTGGCTTTACCCTGTGACGGTTCCATTTGCGCCAAGTACATAACAAACAACAACACAGCGTGAAATACCATCCGCAACTTAGGATGGGAAGGCGCAACCATTTCGCTACAAAGTGACGCCGCGCGCAAAAGTTAACTTCTTCGAGCCCAAGAAGCTCGAAGATGGAACTGATCTCATGGCATGCCGTTACAGCCAGGTTGGAGCAGCCTGCCTTGGATCCTTTCACAAATTGTGTGCCGCGCCAGCTAGCCTGGCCCGGGTTGTGTGGGAGGCCCTTCTGTGGCATTCTTGTGTCATTGAATGATAAACTTGACAAGCGCACAGGTTTTTCAGAAAACAGGCAACAAGTGCTCTTGGCAGGTACGCTTGACCACTGGCATACCAGCCATTGTGTCACCAATCAAACCCAAGGTTTGGTTGATATATGAGATGGAGATTGATCCGCAAACTGCCGTGAAGCTCTAGGCCCTAGGCCTTGCTAGGTTTGGACTGAATTTTATGTGGCCATTGGCATGTTTGATGAGCGAAGTCTTGGACCTTCTTCCGCAGGTCTCACAGAAATGACTCGCTGCCGCTACCAATCTTTAAGACTCAGGGTTGCTGTGCTCACATTATAGTTGCGTTGAGGGTAGGTTTGGAAAATTGATGTTTGCAAATGGATACTTACTCCAATTAAATATTGTCATTGCAGCAATGTTTCGGCTGTCATCTTCATCTGACTGGCGCACGCGCGCAGCGCCGGCTGTTGAGATGCCGGCAGAGGACGTGACCGCGTTGTCAGACGATGGACGTGAACCGCCCAAGAAAGTACCCCAGAAAGAGGAACCCGAGAAACCGAAGCCAAAAGCAAAGCCCAAGCTGACGCCCTCTAGCAAGAAGCGTGTAGCAGAACCGAAAGCAAAAACACTTCCAAAGAAGAAGCCCAAGGTCGACAAGAAGGATACACCAGAAGACAAGACCACAGAGATGGAAGAAGACGAAGAAACAGTTCCAACCAAAACACCAGAAGAGACTGAGACTGCGTCTGTGCCCAAGAAGAAACCTGCGTGTAAGTTGCCAGCCTTGAAGAAACCTGCTGCTGCACCCACCTACATCTACAAGTATATGTACAAGGATGGCAAGCGGGGCCTCAAAGTCAAAGGCAAAGAACAATTCACGGTGGGGCCCTTGCACTGTGTCAATGTTGAAATTATGGATGTCGCTATTAACTATTCTGCTATGTTTGCGTTTCAATCTATAAAAAAAATGATATTTTAATTTCTTGCGCATTGGAGGTGAAACCGCACGAAGGTATCTCTGAAGAAAAGCTGGAAGAGATCGCGGATGAGTGCTTATTTTTTCACACGTGTTTGTGTGCGTAAACTAAAAACGTGTTTGAATCTGAAATTGTTTTGCTAACATTGAGGCTCACGGTTTTGTGTTTGTCATTGGTGGTCAAGGGGTGGCCTTGAACCATTAAGGATGTGATGCGCAATGCTTTGATCGCAAAGTATGAAGCTTCGGTGGGTGGGCCGGCAGCTCCTGAGACTGCCAAGGAACCTCCTGAGGAGGAAATTCGAAATGAAGAGGGCGAAGAAGAGGAACCTCAAGAAGAGGATCTTCTTGAAGACGTGAACTAGTGTTTAATGGTGAGCGCTGCTACGGCTGCTACTTTCCCCGAGCGATCGATCCGACGCATGGATCATTGATCGACTCACGCTGCCACTGACTGGCCGACTGGAAAAGGTCCCAGCTGATGTGGTCTTGGAATGACATGCCCCAAAGGAGTGAGAACGAACATAACAAGTTTGTAAATTTCGGGCACGGTTTTTGCAAACAAATTCCGCATTTTACAAGGCAGGGCGCCATACAAGATTCCAAAGGCGTCCAAACAGAGTTCCGAAGATATTTCATATGTATATATATACACTTTATACAAGTTGAATACGATACTGCCCTGGCTCAAGAAAACACCCCCCCCAAACCCTGGTCTGACCTCATATTGGACTGTGAAGCACATGTGGATGTCTCACATTGTAAAGCACGAGACATGGCATTGAACTTATGTGGATGCCTCACATTGTAAAGCGCGACTGGTGCCTGATACCCTGGCAAATGCTCTTGAAGTCTCATACCTCCGGTTGCGTTCCACACCCCCCTTCACAGGAAAAAGACTTCATTTCTAGTCGTTAGGAGGCCAGAGGTCCGATCCACGAGGCGTTGAAGCGGCGACAAGGCGAAATGACGGCGGCCGCTCACATCTGCAAAACCGGTGCAATGGCTGGAGTTCTTGTTCTAGCTATGAACGGGACCTATAGGGAGTAAGAAGTCAAAACAGCAGGCAGGAATGTGCGTCCACATTCCCTTTCGCCTGAATCCCATAGGTTCGTTGGCGTGGCTAGGGAAACAGCTGCCATGCAATAAGACCAAGAAAATACAGCCAATTCAAAAGAATCCCTGTGACTCCAAGGGTGTCACGCGCACACACACATGCAGTAGGCGGCAAGAGGCGTATGTACGGTAGGGCGGTGGCCACAGGGCGAAACCCAAGTAGAAAGACACCTGACTAAAACAAGTTCCACAACATCCTGAACTTCAAGCTTGCGTCGCAACATTCTGAATTCGTAGCTTGACATCTTTTGACAACAAACCGGAGCGAGGGGCTAAGTCTTGTTTTAGTTGCAAGCAGGGACCAAGGCCTTGGATTCGAACTTGAGGATCCTGTTCACTCAGGTGGTTGGACTCCACTGCAGTTTGCTCGTTTTATTAGGCAACTTTTTCACCCAGGCTTCCTTGGGCGGTGGCCCCAATCAGTCCGCTCTCTAGTGTGTGCATGTGCGCTTTGCAGCTGACAACACCGGCAGCGGCGCCAGCGCTCGACCAGCGCCGCCGCCCGTCGGCGCGCTCAGCCAACTCACAGCGCCAGCGCCCAGGATCACAGCACCAGCGCCAGCACCGACGCCCTTTCGAAAGCGCGCGCAGCCAGCTCATTCTTATTTGCAACAAGAGCCCCATAGCTATCCCTATTTGGGGAATAACAACGTATGATCTTGCGCGTAGAAGTTTGTGCGCGCAAAAGTACGCGCGCAAACGGCAAAGCCCATAAGTGTCATTGGCCCAAGGCCAAGCAGTATCCAGCGCCACTGTTGACTTTGTAGCATGCTTGAAGCAACGATCTGCAGAACGATGCGC